TGTCATGAATATCCCCATCTTCAGCCTTTTCTGGCTATAGATGTATGAGATGCATGTAAAAATTGTGGGCTTGCTTCTTCACTAAAAACCAAGTGAATTTTATACTCAATTCTGGTGGAGGAAAACTGAAACAGTTCAACTGTTTCTTTAACCATTTCAATCTGTGGACATAAATTTTAGAAAAAACCTGTGTGAGAAGAGACAAGTGTATAAAACAACAATAAAACAATAAACACCGCAAAGCTCATCTATCAACAGACTAAATAGTGTTTTACATTTCATTCTCACCGGTTTTAGATTATAAATGAATAATTCTAGTAGAGTACTTGGAGCTTTTTTGCCAAGTGATGATGGGGAAAAAAGCCACACATCACACAACAGGTTTTCGGGACTCTTGTTGGCACTCCTGTGTCCAGTTTTCTACCTTGTCTAATGCCTTACCAAACAACAAGCTCAGTTTTTCCTGGAGATAAAAAGGGAGCAAAATAAGAGAGCTAAAGAACTAACATATATCAAGCTATTATAGATTTTGGCACTCCAGTATCTTCAGAGAGTTTCTGGAATGCACTGTTCAATAGGGCCAGGTTCTTTTTACATTAAAATCTCCTCCTGAACCATTGTGTTGATACCTACATCAGAACAGAGACAAGCAGTGATGGCAATGCCCCAATTGGCCAAAGTTACTGAGAAGTTTCCACCAGCAAAGCCAAAACGTGCATAATCCAATGCTTAGTTAGCAAGCATAAATGATTATTTCATTTCATAGATTTGCTACCATTTCATATAGTAAGAGTGAAGAGAATGCTGACTGGTCATGGTGGCAATAAAAACAGCTTAAAAGCAATGAGAGCACATCATTCGTACTAATTCAAAGTTGTTGCCCATTTCATTCTTTATAACAGCTTACTTTTAATGTTAAATCTCATACCAAGAATGCAAAATCAAATCTCTGGCTCTGCATCTACTCTTGGCTTTGGCCAAGGGGAGAAGCAGAGGTGGTGACACTGAAAGAAACGACTGACCACTGTGTTTTTACATTTCCATCTGTGTGGTGCTGACAGAAAACACAAAGCGTTAGTTGTAGTAATTTTTTCTTTTCATTATGTTTTTGCATTTAATGGGATAGAAATTTGCCAAACTGCTTTTAGGCTCTGTAATTATTTTTAATGAGTAATTTATTCTTAATTATAGCAGGATTGGTCTTTTTTGTAATACCTTTGCCAAATAAATTGAATTATTTTATTATTATTTTACCATGAAAAATAACTTTACCAAATTACTATGTAAAAAAAAACATTATAAATAAGCTGTCATTGCAAAACAAAAAACGTTCTCAAAAAAAATTATGAACATCTAAACAATATTTTTCATAAGCAAGCCAGCTCATAGCCATAAACTTGTGCAATTCCTTTGCAATGCCTTGTTTAACATATCTATGTAACAAGGTGTTAAAATAGACATTGCATCTTACACACTTGAGGGCATCTTTTAAATTCCTTCCAACTTTCATGTCTCTGTTTCCTCCCTTGTTTTCAGTCATTTTTATTTTTTTTACCCTCAACATTAAATTTTATTTTTTAATTTATTTATTTTTCCTGCGATTCTGTTGTTCACTCTATCCTTCCTCCATCTAATGATTGCTTGGGCTGAGAACTCTGCTGTGGGACAGATTCATTACAAAGTAACTGGGGAAATTGAGAGAAGTAGAAAGAGATAACAGAGCCGAAACAGCAAGATGAGGGAGATAAGTAGTAATGTTGTTATGAACCTCTCATCCTTTTATGCCTTCATCTTTGTACTTGTCTTTCACTAACATAGATATAGAAAGGCGTACATTTAAGAGACACCTTCTCTAGAGTACTGCAACAAAGAAAGTTTTTATTCAGCTCAATGGATATTGCCGATATGTTGTGATAATAGCACACTAAAGTGATGCCATTCTATTTTAAATCATTGTTGGTCTGCTGACTGATTAGTGGCATATGTAGCTACTAAAGAAGAATAATGGTATGAAGTTCTTACACACCAAACTGATGTCGAAAAATGTCAGTGATGATGTGGTTCCCCTGCTATGCCTGTTCAACTTCAAGTGCCTAGCACAAATAATATATAGAATCTGAAAACACAAAAAGAACATCACACAATTGTCTTTAATAGCATCCAATAGCTGTTTGTGAACAAGGTTAGTTTGTATTTTGAAATAAAATTGTTGCTGTACACTAGAGTCTCGTTTCAGAAAGCCGGGTTAGCAAGTCCTGAGTCAAAGGCAGATGAACAGATTTTTACCTATCCTGCTTTATCAAATGGGTCCAGGGGTTGTATTGACCAAATGTTTTCCACCTTTGACAGATATTTTCTAAAACAGTGAAGAAAAAGTCTGAAGGCCATTTGACATTTTAGCATATTACAATTCAAACACCTGATCATTTGGCACAGACTCAGACATTTTCTCCTTACATTGCAGGAGTAGACGAATCAATCAATCAAAATAAATAAAATTAATAAATCCATCAGACCAACATCTCTGACCTGGAGATTATACTCAATACTAAGTGTTGATGGCATGTTGAGGAGTTTTGGACAGGAAGCTTCGGAGAGCTTTTAATCACAGAGTGGTGCAGCTGAACTACTGGTTCTGAAAGACCAAATGCTACAAGATTTCCTCACATTGAAGACATGGCTTTCAAGATCAGAGAAACACTAGTTCAGAGAGTGTTTCCAACTTCTAATCACTTCAATTGGAGAAATGTTCCTTGATTTCAAAATTGCAGTGTGGTTCCAAAGCAAGGATTCATCCTCCACATCAACATCAAAACAGCCATGAGATGCCATGTTTGAAGCAAAAATCCAAACTCTCACAACAATAGCATGTGCAATATAAAAAATAAAAAAAATACGATGGTGGCATCAGGTCGAAAGTAAGCCCAATCTTGACTTGGGTGCACACAATGAATTTTAAACACATGCAATGTAAAAAATGGGGATGCATCACAAGCAAAGTATTCTTCTTAGATTGGGTCATGTACTTTTACCCGTATTTATATCCACATAACACCTTTTATCAAAACACATTTATATTATAGACAAGAAATTCGACAGACTTTCATATGGAACAGGGTTCATTCAATATGCCAACTGGCCAATGAGATTTTTTTTTCTACTGACTGACCTGACAACTGTTCAACAAGTAAAATGAGCTGAAAAACATTGACAGGGCTTTGACAGAACCAAATGGTGCGTTGTACATCAAAAAGACAAGAGTGACAGATGCGCACCAACCGTCCAGATGTCCCTGACAGACAATTGGCCCAAACATCTGAGGGGACAGCAAGGGTACCTTACCAGCCAATCACAGCTATGTTCGAGGCAAAAGTTTTCCTCCATAAAACTAGTTTATTATAACCTGGAGGCCTAAAGTACTTAAACTCAGCCACCATCATTTGGAAATGAAAATAATTTAAATATGAATCAACAAAATAACTGGAAAATTTTAATTGAGTGCAATTGTGTATATGATGTTTCAATGTGTATGGACTTTTACTATCTTCAATTTAGTAGGAAGAAAACACATTACCCCAAGAAAATAATGTGATATTGTAAATTTGAGACTTTAAGTACTGGATTATGTTTTTTATATGTAATATGTTTTTTTTAATTTTCTTTAATATTGCTATTCAGTAGGTTTGTGGTACTATTTTCTGCTCTGTGCTTTTATCCCTCTTATGCTTAAACCAACCAAAGCCCCTCTCTCTCAAGTCAACTTGTTATTAATGAAATATAATAGGGAAGAGGAGGACATATGTAAAGCTAAGCCCATTAGGCCATGCTGTTTTCATCTCAATATGATTTAAGTTTCACTAATTGAATCCCAACAGGCAGAAACTGCTCTGTGAAGTCAGCGTGTGGTCTGGGTAAGTACATATGTGGAGTGAGGGCAAAACTCACTCCACACTCGTATGGTTTTGGGGTAACCATATAAGTATTTGTCTTGTAGGTCAGTGTCACATCCTTCCCATGCTGATTTTGTTTCTTTTTTTTTTTTACTGAAAACAAAAAAAGTTTTGAAAACAAGAAACTTGGAGACACTTTAAGTTCTTCAAGTAAAGCTGTCATCACACTCACTTACCTTGATTTTTATCTTCTGGAATTTATGGCTTTGCAACAAAAAGTAAAAGCGGTTGAATGGTGAACTTAAAAAAATGGTTTGATAGGTTTTTTTTTTTAATAACACTCTCAGGTTCACACTGATCATAACTGAATATTTTTCATCTTCAAATTATCAGGTGGTGTAAACTATTAATTAGAATTAAACTGTTTATATGTAGCTTAGATTTTAGGAGCTGATCTGAAATTGGATTTCCTTTCCACAAATCACAGAGAGCAAGCTCTGAAATGATTCCTGATCATGAAAAAAAGTGTTTTGCTCAGGTATCAAAATATTTACATTTAAATATTCTGGTATGAACAGTTTTTCTTGTGTTTCCATTTCTTCTCATAAATATCCTACATTTGGTCATCTTCAACAGAATAACTTTTTTCAGGTCAGCCATACATTTTTTGAACATTACAGATAACCAAAAAATTAAGCCAGTAAAAGTATCCCAGGTTCATAGTAGTTATTGCATAAAAAAACACAGTAGTTCTTAAGCTGCTGTGTTGTAGTGACATGACACATGAATGCTGATGCTTTGAAAAACACCTGTAACTTGGGATTACGCATGAAGAAGTGAAAGGGATGAGACCTTGTGAAGTGTAAGCATGCCAACAGCTTTCACAAATAAAAACATACCATGTGTCAGAAAACCATGAAAACAAAGAACTTTTCAAATCAATGACTAAAATCAGCAAGTCTGCACTCTATGTAAACTTCTGACTTTTCTCTCCACGTAGCTAGACCCTGGTCTAGCAAAGATTTCTTGGAACACTTTATTTCAAATGAAAATTTCAAATTGCCTGCATTTTACGAAACATGCCTGCATTTTACGAAACATGGATGCCAACTGAACAATGGAAAGATGGTGGTTTGAACCATCTTTCCATGCAGAGAACATGCAAATACCACAAAGTAAGGACCCAGCTGAAATTTAAACATCCAACCTTCGTACAAACCATTCCTCATAAGACAGGTAATAGATTTTCTGTTCAAAACATGCTTTGCTTTTTCTTCACATTATAACTATAAATTATTATATTAGTTAAGCCAACTGCGATAGTGATGATATTAATAAGTAATGATCAAATCTTAGTTTCATCCTTTGATAAATATGATCCAAGTTATATGGTCAAATAAATATCACTTTCTAACATGCTGACCTTCTCACCACCTCACCACATCAATCCATTTTCAACCTCCATTTTCCAGACTACTGTTGTGACACATCCTAACAGCAAATGACACAAGACTTGTCACAGCGAATCAACCTCCAGAGACTACACATTACTTTGAAAGTTGTGTTGGATCTGCACTGCACATATCTTTTTGTGTGCATGTTAAATATATTTTTAGCTTTCTTAATTAGTTAGCAGAAATTCAAGCTGGGAGACAACACACAGCTGAACCACATCACCCACTCACCATGCCCCCGCCGCAGCCAATCGTCGTTCACGAGTCCCTTCAAGAGGTCTAGCTACCTTGGGTTTTCCGCTCATCATTCGCGCTTCGATCCACCTCCTCCCCATCTCCACCTCCATCCGGACGGACACCTTCCTGCCTCCCTCTGCGCTTCTTCATCTCCAGGCTCCACTCCATCACCAGTATTTGGACCTGGGGGGAAGACTACCCTGAGCTTCGCCCAAACCGATCACCTGCCCTTGGTGATCCTCAGCTCACAAGTCTTCTGTCGGGTTCAAGGGCCAAATAACTTTGTACTATTAAATCGTCTAGCTGCTATTTTCTCTGTGTGAGTTTATCCAGATTGAAATATAGTTTGCTTTTATTTATGTCTAAAAAACGAACAAAAAAATACTATTTGTGTTGCATTAAAAATCTCATTCTAAAATTCTGGCGTTAAATACTGTCATCCTTCCTTGTCATTAAGATGTGGCTGACAGGGTACTACCACTTGAAAACAGAAAGCCATTAAGGTGCTTTCATCGTCTCAACAACCATTATTTGTCCAACAGAGTTGACTAGACTAATTCTCTTAAGACAGTTTGTCAAAACAGGTTTCTTGTGTCATTTCATCTATCTCTAGACTTCTGAAACACCTGCTTTCTCTTCTCTATCGCTCTCTTTTTTTTTTATTTGGCACAACTCTCTCGAGTAACAATTAGGCCAGTGATCCATTGAACAACGCAGACAGCATCTGCCCCCACTACTTCCAACTTCTTCACTAGAGAAAATCTATGTTTTATATGCTTTTTTAAGCAACTAAAGGAAATGCAAACTAAGTTGCCATAAAGATAAAAGATACACAAGCTGCATCCATAGCAACCAGATGTCGTATTCTCACAGTGTGATGCAATATACTATGCAACGTTTCTGTGTTAGTTAAAAACACCTTGTTATATAGCCAGATATATTTTTCTACCTTCTACTCTTTAATCAGTCTGTTTCTGGACTAATTCTGCCCCCTACTGGGGCTCATCATCTTATTTTTTTTAATGTTATCCTTTTTTTTCACTTTACAGCACAATAAGCATCTGTTGAGTACAGTTTTAAATATGCAACCTTGTCTATAACAAGATCTCGTGTCCTCATTCAGTAGGACATATATGCAGAAAGTACTACTCCTCTTCACATTGTCCTTTCCGGTGTCATATTTAGTGAAGACGTAGCAGCAGTAGCCATCTGTTGTGTCTTCACGTATAATGTTTTTTCATAGTCCCCCTCTTTTACTGCCTGAAACCATCCTGGCCTCCTTAGTCTGTCTTTATGAGGCACAGCAAGGACAACTAGGTAGTAAAGCATGCTTGTGAATATGTGTGTGTGCAGGTTTAAGTGGGCAAGTAAAGAGAAAAAGAAAGAGAGAAAGAATGAAAGAAAGAGCAAAAGAAAGAAAGAAGCAAAGAAAGAAAGAAGGAAAGGAAGAAAGAAAACAAACACAATTTCGTCAATTGTGGGTTGAAGAAAGAAAGAAAACTCCCCATACCTTGGAGCCTCAGCTGCTCCTGTTAAATCACCTGGCAGAACATTTATAAACACTTAAGATTTCTTCAGACATTGGCAGAGTCATGCTGCCATGACTTTGCTTCTGCATTTTGATTGAAATTTTTCAAACATTTGCCCTTTTAATAAACTTTACAGGATTATATCCAACGCCTCATAAAGTCTTAAAATATTCTGTGCTTTCCACATGACACCCTGTTGTTATTATTGTGTTAAATTTATTAACTTGAACACATCTTGCATGATGAAAACCTTCTGCTTCCTTGCACAAGTAAGGATGTGAGCAATAGAAAACATGTTAATTACATTTTTTTCCACAAAATCATTCTCAAATAATGGGATTTCACCAGCTTAGTTTTGATTATTTTGAACTCCTTTCAGAATGAGCTATTTTAGGACCTCCTGTCATTTTAGGGTGTTTTCACACCTGATAGTCCAGTAGACACGGTTCAATTGAAATGGCAACACTCATTTTATTTTCAGCTAGTGTCGTTAATGTTGTGTAAAATGACCCAAATACTTGGAAAAACTTGGAAAACTTTCAACAGCATTGTCTAAGATTAATCAAAACATCAAAACATACATCAAAAATACCTTGTCCAAGATGGACTAAAAGAGGACTGGTCCAAATTCCTCTTTTCAAATAAAAATTAAATTAGCATTTTATTTGAAAATCAAGTTTCCAGTGTCTATGGGAAGAGTGAAAGAATGATGTTTTGACAGACAAGATTCAATGACTTGAATCTTATTCAATGACTTGAATCTTATTGGTCCTACTATGCATTTTCTCAAAACTAAATCTGTATTTTGATCTTATGTAATAATAAACTTTTCTGATAAATAGTGTTAAATTCACAGAAATACATACTTCAGACATATCACCGGGTGGAAAGAATCATGAGTATTAGCATTTTTAACTGAAATCCTGAAATAAATTCATCTTTTGACACTATAATTTATTCAGGTGCACCTCTCAAAAAGGATATACACTAAAAGATTTTCTTAAGATTTTGTGTATTTTTGCCCAAAAATATGGAAGAATTAAATATATGGATAAAATTATTGATAGAGGTCTGTCAGCACTGTGGAATTCTGAGGCATATTACATCGAAAAATCTCATTAAGAGCCAAACTGTATGGAGTTGGAGGAATATGCCGCGGGACTCTTTGCTGACATCTCCCCACCGATGTTAATACCGCATTCATGTCATATTGAATTTGCCACAAATACGAGCAGCCAGCTGGGAGAAAAATGGGCATGTCAGCCTCCTGGTGCTAATTACAAGTAGGATGTGTGGGAATTTTTGTTGGTTAGGATGTCTCCCGTGTGGCCTGACAAATTGGGCATAGCTTGTCAGCTGGCAAACTGTATCATAAAGCCTTTAGAGTTCACACCAGTCCATAACATAGTGGATTATTTTATGTTATTTATAACTCTCTAAAACAAAACAATATGATTATTTGCTTACAGTGCCATGTAAAGGTTAGTAACTAATCTTATTTAGAAAACAAAATATTGGCAGGAACTTAATAAGTAGCTTTAGGGTTTCTATTAAAAGTTTTTTTTCCCCTAATATTCTCTTTGTCAGTTGGCAGTGAACAGAGGACTGACTCAAAATGTGGGCTACTACTAAAAGGAGATTTTTTTATATATATTGTTTGTCCGTTTGTTTAAATGCACACACCAGCATTTAAACATGCCAGTTAAATCCTTTAGGATTGCAAATAATGGCACGTTTACCTTTAGGCATAGAGAGCAGTAAAATCAGCAAAGTTTGAGCAACAAAAGGGACCAGTGAGTGATCTTTGGTAACAGCTGGTTCACTGCATATTTACTCCATATTTATTAAAAAGCAAATTTTTCAGATATTTGCTTTCAGATGAATTATTTATTAATATATGTATTTGATTTATCTGATTTTAGACTTTAACAGCAGGGATAAATGTTAAGAGCCAAACATTTTTCAAAAGAAGTTGATTTTTTTGAAAACATAAATTTCACACTGCTAATTTGAAATGTCAAACTAAATTTGAACACTAATCACATGCATATTTCGATGTTTTTTTTTTCTTCTTTGTTATATTTTATTTATACATCTGATTTACCACATAATTTTTAAAATTGGTGATATAAGTGCTTGACCAGAAAATTATAGCCACTCGCTTGGCTTAAGTCTATTTCTACAATGGTGTTGATTTTGATGTTTCTACATGGAAATAAATACCAGAGGGACTAATAAGTCTTCAACTCCTCAAGCTGATTCAACTTGTCACATACTCTCCAGAGAGCAAAAGACTCCATTAGCTTTATGGACAAAGCAGAGTGTGCAAGTCTTTTTATGTCTGAAGTTCATTTGGTGAATATTTATTTGTGCGTTTCTGTGTTTGACTAATGCTTTTTAATATAGCTGAGTGACTGTGAATGAAATAGGTTTCTTTGAAATACTGACAATACTGAAGTTGCCTTTTACTTTCAGACATGCAACTTTTAGTGTCTCCCACATTCTTTTATTGAATTTACTTTTTGATATAGTTATGGTCAACAAAAATGGAACATTAACCTGCGAACATTTTTGCATGATTTTTCCACACATTTTCTCTTTGCATTAAATAATATGAGCACATAAAGAATAAACACAAAACCAATAGAAATGACAGACAAAAAGACCCCAAGGACTTGAGGTGTTATGAACAATAGAAATGGTAGATTTACTGTTTGTGAAGGGCAGACATTCCTATGAAATAACGTATAGTTTTTCGATGCATATATTTCTATTACTATTTAAAAGGTATTTAAATAGGTATTTAAGGTCTATTTCAAGATATATTGTATATAGAATAATGATTAGTGTTTGCGCAAACCAACTCTCAAGTGGAATTCTATCTAAAGACAGGTTTTAATAGAGGCTAGAAAAAATCAACAAGCAGGACTTTCCACAGGCAGAGAGACAACTCGACCAGCTTCATTGAAAACATTGTTTTAAAGGAGCGTTTATAGGTGCTTCCTATAGTCCTAAAGAGGCTGCACTCTTAGCAGCAGTTCAAAAGACAGTTTAAGTAATGTGTGTCCTGTCAGTATTTAAGACATACCACATAGAGACGGCATGTCTTGGAGGTAAATATGTTTCAAAACATTCACACTTACATTCAAGATTAGAAGATTCATGGATGATGACGTGAGAAGTTGCAGAGCACAAAATCCAAACTTGTACAAATAGTCATATACATGAATAATTAATTTGAGATTGTGAGTAAAAGTGTCACCTGTGAAACAATTTCAGACAAACAATCTATGAGTGTGAAGTTGCAGGAAATTACAAATGACGTTTTCATTACATGTGTCAATTTTTCCTCTGTAACTAATGAACACATCAAACTGAAATACTCTTCACAGATTTGGCAGGATTTGATCCTCTACAAAATCCCATTAATTTGGACTCATGTTACACAAGTTTTCCAATTTCCCAGCAAACATGGGAAGATAAGAAACAGTGTGAAGGGCATTTTAAGAAGAGTCATTTTAAATCAGTGGCCAATGTCACTGTTTTAATACACAGCTCTAGATTGTAAAAGCTGGTGAAATATTTCACTTCTTTATAAACTTTAGGATTGAGAACAATCAGTATATCAACTCAGTTCCTGCTCTCACTCCTTGCTTGATCCTCCTGTTACTTTCCTGTTTTGCCCAGCTACCTTCTTGTACCTGTAACGCTTTGTGAATTGAGTATCCCAGAATGCCTAAATATCTACTGCTGTGATTTATTGAATCAACAAAAGTCTAC